GGAGACCCCGCGCGCTGGCGAGACTCCGCGACAGCAGGGTCTGGCGGCAGGGAAGTCTACGGAGAGGACGACGTCTTCCGTGGAAAGGACGGCGACGACCACAAGTTCCAGAGGTCGACGCAGCGTGGGAGGAGGCGACGTGAACGCCAAAGAGGGTGCCGAGGGTGGACTGCAGCTAGCCGACGGTCCTGGCACACCAAAGAGACCAGCAAGAGAGAGGAAGAAGCCGTGCTGGATGACTGATTATGTTTGATTTATTTGATATTATCATTGTTCAATTTCATGCTATTCCATATAATGTTCTCTTTTATATAATGTTCTCCTTTATATAATGTTCCTTTTTATATAATGTTCTCTTATATTTTCTTTAACCTTTATATAATCATTATTCTTTTATTTGTTACTTTTGTACTAAATTACTTGTCTTTTGAGATTAAAAGGGGGGAGGGATGTCGTGTCCTGCATATAGAGGGCGCTAGTGTACACCCTGTGAATAACTGTTGAGGATCTGTGAATAAAGATCAGTCATGGTGTAGACAAGTAAATGGCCGGTTCGTTCCTTTACCCTGAGCTACCAAATCCAATTGCATCTGGAGAAAAGAGAGAATCCTACACCGTCTAGCCTTTGAAATATATGCACTGTGAAAATTAGTTGTAGGTTTTACGGAAAATTTTCCTTGATGCGGGTCGTAAAATTACAATTTAAAATTGTAAAATTACATCGACTTGGAATATTAACTACAAAATATGTGATAGTTTAGGACGATATTTTTCATAGTGATCATTTTATATCAAGTACTGTACAGTACACAAACTATCCGCTTCATGTTTAGAATTAATTCGTGTCAGTGATGGCGCTATCAGAGCTGGACCACCGCATGTAGAACAAAGCAGAAGAGCGGGCTAAAAACTATCTCTGGATCAACTTCTGTGTTCATTAGTGGTTGGACTGCCCGAGGACTGCCGCTTCGCTTTGGTGCTGCCCTGATGCCCGTGGCCGCAGCACATACGTCTCACAGAGGAGATCTTTGGGCTTGGCCACTGGCTTCTAGTAGACAGTTTAGTGCTGCTTGCTAAATCGATACTTGAAACCTCAACACGGAGTTCGTGGCAGATCCGTACACTGTTAAAGTCTTGCAAAGAAATGCATTGGCGTAGGCCGAGCACGTGTACAGATTTCAGTGAGCTATGAACAAAAAAGTTCATAAGACTTTAGTGTGTACAGAGCTCCCTGGTACTGCGTGTTTATACAAGCCTCCACGAACTCCGTGTTTACAGGTTTCAAGTGTAGAAATGCTACAATTCTGGTGTGCCAATGATGTTATTCATACTCCTGGCTCTGGCACTGCTGTGCCACGTTAGTGGCAAAGCTATCAACACTTTCGCGGTAAGTTACGTAGTATCTTATTTGTCAAATGCTTATTTAACATTTTGAATACATTGTCAACCCAGTGTCTCCACCATGCGATTTCTTTTAACGCTCATGTTTCGAATCTCTTCATCGAGTAGGGCCCTTACAAGGTTGTCCCCGAACGCTTTTACATGTGTGAACCAGACAACCGCGTTCTTCCGGCGAGATGGTATTTGCGCATCAGTCACTTCAACCCACATAAACCAAAAGAGCTTCAACTCCTGACCGGTAACATTACCGTCCAGAGTGTGTCTATGGATAACAGCGCCTGGGTAGGTACGACATTTGTTAATGGTCGCGATAACCCACCAGCTACTTGCCTTAAAAACCTGGCAGACGCTGATAAAAAGCGGGTCTAAGGGTGTATCTTTATTGTCTTTATTATAACAGGTGAAAGGAAATATAGATGTTCGGTCAAATAACCAATGGAAAAAAAATGCATTTGTCGGTTCTTTTAACAATTCTGCTTGTCGTGCTCTAAAAGAAAATATCCCTGGATTTTACGATGTTTTTTTCAAGAAGAAAGAAATTGGCGGCGTATGCTCAATCAAACCTGTAAGTACTCAAACTTCATTAATGAGTCTACTCTGGCCATAATGCTTATTAATAATTTTTCTGGTTCTGGTACACTGTAAAACTTCTGTAAGCGTGATCTTTCTTGCCCGAATATAGCGACGTATGGCTTAATCGCTTTGTTAGAGCGATGTTTGTGAAATTACTTCTTTGTGTAACCGAAAATGTTGCAAAAACGACATTGGATTCACAACATCGCTCTCCCAGGAGCGAGTTTGCTCACTCCTTTACTTGCATCTGTGTGATGTGGCATATGTTGAGTTATGGCTTCAAACACAAAAGAATTCTAAATGTGAAAACTGTGATCACTTTTGTTTTCAGGGAGTTTACGAGGTCAATGACGCCCCAGTAGATTGGAATTTTCCAAAAGCTCCAATTTTTCCGTACGGCCAATATAGGTTCAGGTTATTGTTTGGCAAAGCTGAGAAAATGTACTCATGCTTTGTGGTAGAAAACACTGTTATTCCTAAACCCTAGTAGCAGTACAAGTGTACCCCAGTGAGAAATAAAATACCGATGAATGGTCTCGTTTGGCAAGTTTGAAGGACTGTAGATTTTGAACGAAACATATGGTACAACATGCCCGATAGTTGCATACTATTTATCGACTAAGCTGGAATGTGGACAGGAAGTGTCGTTGCGGCTTTCTTTCCTATCGTCCATTAACTGCCTCATAGTCAAGTCAAGTCAATATACTCCACGGCTGCGGAAGGCCACCGCGGTCTCGTTTTGCCGCGCTCCTATAAGCCGCTGTCGCGCCGGCGTGCGGTGGGTTGCCTGTCGTCCCGGCGCCACCCAAGTCCATTCTATAGAGAGGGACGTCGGACGGCGCCGACCGATTGTTTCCAGGGAGCGTTCTGCGGCCGCGGATGGGCACTGCTCGTCCGGGTATCCTCGCGGCGAGGGCCGGCCGTCAGGTGCAGCACCCGCGTGTCGGCTCGCTGCCAATAACTTTCCGTTTCAAATGAGTCCCGGCGAGGGACAAACACCCGGTTGATTGCGCCGGTTTTTCAGGTTCCGGTGATCAGACCGCGTCGTGGTGGCCTTTTTGACAGAGTGGCGCGTCAAGCGCGGTGCAATGGATGTGGACGGAAGTAAACGCCTGTCGCGCATGCCGCGCTCGGCGCGTCGTACCTGGCACGCAAGTGAAGGGCAGCGGCGCCCAGGAGCCGTCCTCCTGGCACACGGCGGACTCGAGGCCGTAGTCGCCCTGCTCCGGGTGCTGGGCGGCAGCGGCGGCGCCGGGCCGCCTGTCGCGCACCGACTGCGGCAGGCGGTACTGGGGCTTGCAGCTGAAGAGCGCCGTGGTGCCGGGCGAGACGGGCGCGTCGCAGGGCACGGGCCGGCCCAGCACCCAGCGGCACTGCACGTCCAGCGTCTTGAAGGTCGGCGGCGGGCACATGCCTGCAGCAACAGCAGGACAGTAATGCGTTTGGTTATCACTTGTGGAGAGGGGGGGGGGGCAGGGCCGACCGTCACGTCTGCAGCGGGTACTACGTGCCGGCGACGGTGGGCGCGCGCGCGCTCGGCCCGCCCACAACGGCGAATAAAACCTGTTTCGCGCGGAGTCTTCCCAGGAGGGACCCGTTTAAAAAAAATAAAAAGTATTTCAGTACGTAGACCATTGTCCTACGCACATAGAGGAGAGGCAGCCCGCCCCGTGATCTTTCCAGTCCACCGTCGCCCAAAAGCAAAATCTGAACGAGCCTCCTACGGTGGTTTTATCGCTTTGCTACGGCCCTGGCACTGGTCGCTGCCCGGGCCGACCGTGTTAACTCCGACCCGAGAACCTTTCCCGGCCCGCGCGGCCTGTTCTGTTTGCTCGCGCTTTGCTCACCCTCCTCCGCTCCCCCGCGCTCCCCGCCCCTGGCCACTCTCCCTTCCCTTTCCCTGATTAGGACCGCCCAAGGGGTCTTTTTCCCGTGTGCGGCCCGCCCTCACTAGTCGAAAGTTTTTGCAAGTAATCGTCGAGCGCGACGCGACTATGGTATGTTTCGGTGACGACTTTTCATGCTCGGACTAACTTCGTCCTATAATATTGGGAACGCAGTGTGTGGCGCATAGTAGCACATGGCCGTCAAGGACTGCAAGGTTTTCATCGCGCATGATCTTCGTTCCCACTTGAGGAGGCGCGCACTTACCTGCGCTACACGCGGAGGCCAGCAGCACGACGAGCACGGCGGAGTTCAGCGCGCGCCAGGGAGGAGGGCCCCCGCGGCACGCCATGCTGCTGCTGCTGCTGAGCGCCGTGGAGCGCGGCGATGAGCTCCTGCGTCAGCTCCTCGTGAACACTTCCCCGCGGCGGGCGGGCACACCTCTATGGTCCCGCGCGGGAGGAGCAGGCGCCTCCTCGCCGCACCCGGCCGCACCTTGGTCGAGCTCGAGCTGCGATGAATCACTTCACTTCTCCCTGATGAAGTGCATCGCAGACCTCGCACGCCGCCGCCCCGCGGCCGCGCCCTGCGCGCTGTCTCTGTCGTCGCTCACGACGTGGACGACACGACGCGGGCGCGGGAGTCCGCGCGACCCGCTCTGAAGCACCCTGCGGCTCGAGTCGCTGACGGTGTACTCGTCCCTCCCCGAGGCCAGCCTCGACGGTAGTTTGGCCGGAGCCGTCGAGGATCGTCTCAGAACGACAGTCCGTCTCCAACACAACCGGCCGGTCGCGGCGTCGCGGCGTCACTCGCGAGTCTCTTCTCCTCTCTTCTCTCGGCGGCGGGAGCGGGCCTCCTGCCTCCTCTCCACCTGTGCGCGCCGGACTGGACTCCTGGAGAGGCCGGCTCCAGGCGCGCGCGCGCCTCCTGGAGAGGGAAGGCGCGCGCGCGCGCGCGCGTGTGTGTGAGAGAGTGCTGATTACATGTCAGATTGGTCTTTCGCGCAGCAGGCAGGCACTCGGTTAGAAGACGGCGCTTCATCTTCCAGCACGTATTTCGCGGCGCAAGCTGACATGCAAGGCAGGTTTCCTAGGAGACTTCTTGGAAATAAAGTCGATCAAGAAGAGAACGTCTGCTTGTGAACTGTTCTGCTCGGGTATTAATACCACTACTGCTTGGAACGCGAAATACAGTCCAGTACAGTATAGATCAGATTCAGAATGTGTAGGAGGAGGGGGAACGGGGCACGGTCCGGGCCGGGGCTCGTCTCAGGCTCGTCTGCAGCGAGCGGCCTGGCGCGGCGCGGGACGCCAGTGACCACGCAGTGACAGACAGTATGACGCAGGGAGGAGCGGGAGGCTCGGAGAATAAAACCGTTTTATACACTGCGGGGACGAGCCAGGACGAGCTGGGTCCGGACCGGCCGGCGCGCGGCGGCTGCGTCAGCCGTGAGGAGGAGCAGGATGAGGAGAGGGAACATATGCGCTTCTGCTCCGGTTAGGGTAATCGATCGCAGCATTGTCTGACAGTCGGCCGCCTTCCCACGTCTACAAATGTAGTTGAACTAGTTGGCAGGCGATCGTCCCCGTGGACGATTCCGATCCCCCGCCCCTCCCCTTCCCCTGTTGTTCTGGGAACTGGGTTTTTCCTCATTGGTCGATAAGTCCCATGAGGTGACCGAATAAATAATTTTGAGTAAAACGAACCATGTGTGTTTGTGTGTGTGTGTGTGAACGAGACGGGCGCCAGGTCAGACACGTAATACGAGTGTAACCGCGAGGGCGTGAGCAGCATCCTTCCTCTGGCGCCGTGACGGTGGACACTCCGCCCGACACGCTGTTCCTGTCGCGGGGTGGCAGGTGGCGTCGTCGCGTCGTCGTGGTGGTGACGCCTTGACTTGACGCCCCGTGACTCAGCAACAAAACTCCGCCCCATGTGCTCGGGGCGCTCCCCTCCTCCTTGACTTCTTGGGGGCCATACAATAATGACTCAAGGTTTTTCGGTCCGAGCCGTGACCGTCCTAGTTGAGAGAGGTCCATCTTCCGCGTCGCACCAAGTCCGCTGCCCACGTTCGGGATGCCACCCTCTCCCCCTCTCACTCACTCCCTCGCACACTCCCCTGGCGCCAGATAAAGACAGAGATGCAGCAGAGCGGCCCTGGCTGCGCCGGCCGCGCTCCCTCGGACGCCGCCGAGGAGGAGCAAAGTGCGGATCGCTTTTGTTTTGGTCCGGTCAGCGCTCCCCCCGCCGCGCGCATGGGCTATGCTGGCTGTGCTGCGGAGACTCGCGGGGACCGTCGAGATGCAGCAGAACGCCTCATGAACTCTTTGCCCACCTCCACCCTCCATCCAATTTTATTTTGCCTGAAAACTTTATTACTTTTGATAATCTCGTAACAATTGATTCTGTTTCGGGGGTGTTACGGGTGCGCGGTCAATATAGACGATTTGGGCTACCTCTGACCACGAAGAAGAAAAGAAGAAATGCGACAAGCATCATGGCCGCTGGGGGGTGTATGAAACATTCTTCGACCACAACTGAGAAATTGACTGAGCGGTCGGCGTTCAATTGTTCTTTCTTTGTGGTCGAAGAATTTTTCATACACCCCCCACTCCACCCCAGCGGCCATGATGCTTGTCGCATTTTTTCTTTTCTTCTTCGTGGTCAGAGGTAGCCCAAATCGTCTATTAGTCTCTTTACTCAGTAAAGATAAGGCCACAAATAGGGAACAGCTGAGCTGTTGTCGTACCCATCGGTTTTTTCTGCATCCTCATCGTCACATCCCCCCCCCCCTCTTTCCTTTTCCGTCCACCTCTGTGCGCGGATTTGTCGGGATTTGCGCTCACCTTTCCCCGCAGTCACCCCTATCTCCGTGCCCGCCCTTGCCTTGCCCCTCCCCCTGCCCTTCCCCTCCCTCTCCCCTCCCTTCCCCATATTATGACGGGCGCCCGAGGCTGGAGGTTAGTCGCCGGATCGCATCAGCGGGGAGCGCATCTCGAGACGGACAACAACAAGCAGTGGACCCTCAGCGAGGCGTGCAGCTCGACATGGAGAGCGTCTGGCAGGGCAGGGCGGCCGCGGCCTTCGTGCTGCTGTCGGTCTTGTGCAACTGGATGACCGGCGCGGCCACTGCGGGCTGGGCCCGCGTCGTCGGCGTCCTGGTCGCCTTCCTGGTCACCGTCGTGTTCCAGCACTGGCGGCGCCTTTACGCCATCCTCAGGGTCCTCCCCAGGGACATCAGGTAAGGGTTACGCGTGCACGCGCTGGTTGGTATTGTCCTAAGAAGAAGACTCCGAGCGCGAGCACGCCGGTCCCTGGTCTCACACGTCGTCCTGTGCCCCTCTCAGGTTCCTCTACGTCTTCCTGCGCTCGTCCACGACGTGGAGGCGCTTCGCGCGCGACAACGAGACCATGGTGAGCGTGTTCGAGCGCAACGTCCGCGAGGCGCCCGACGCGCCCTGCTTCCTGTTCGAGGACCAGACGTGGACGTACCGCGACGTGGACGCCTACTGCAACCGGGTGGCGCGCGCCTTCCAACGGGCCGGCCTGCGCCGCGGCGACGTGGTCGCCCTGGTGCTGGACAACCGCATCGAGTACATCTGCGTGTGGCTGGGCCTGGCCAAGCTGGGCGCCGTCACGGCCCTTATCAACCGGAACCTGGTGGACGCGCCGCTCGCGCACACTATCAACACGGCCCGGGCGAAGGTCGTGCTCTTTGGGGAAGAGTATGCCGCCGGTGAGTTTGAGTGCCCCTTTGAACCCCTGCAGATGAGATGACCTCGTTACAATTATCTGACTTTACTTTATTTCCTTTCCTTTTTATTTATCCTTTTAAATTTACAAGTTGTATACTTTCAAAGTTTAGACTTTTTACATTAATTTTTTCGAAATGTTGCCTATCTAATTAATAGCGTGCACGTATCGCAGGTGCTTGAGTGACGTACCTGTTGAGCGAACAAACACTACGTGAATATCGAGCGCGCTTGACCGCCGCGTAGCGTCCACGCCCTTCCGGCTGGCGAAGCGGAGTCGTTTGCCCTTTTGCTAATCACCCCCCTTATTTATTTATTCTTTTCGATTTCTAGCCGTCCAGGGCGTGCGCGCCGACCTCAGCACGGTGGAGAGCTTCTACCAGTTCGGGGGCGGCGCCCAGGACTGGTTCGCCGACCTGGAACCGCTGCTGGCCGCCGAGAGCACGGACAAGCCGGTCGTGGACTTCACCCCGGGCCACTGGGACCACCTCATGTACATCTACACCTCGGGCACGACGGGGCTGCCCAAGGCCTCCATCGTGACGCACGGGCGGACGCTGTTCTGGCCCATGGGACTGTTCCGGGTGGTCGGCATGGACCCCGCCCGCGACGTGTTCTACTGCTCGCTGCCCATGTACCACGCGGCCGGCGGCGCCTACGCGGCCAGCCTCGCGCTCGCGCACCGCGTGCCCGTCGCCTTCGCGCCCAAGTTCTCCGCCTCCAAGTTCTGGACAGACTGCGCGCGCCACAATGCCACCGTGAGTGTCTCCCCCCAGGTCCCCCCCCC